TCACCTGTGCACACACTCCTCACTACTGCTCTCTGCGATCACCTGTGTACACACTCCTCACTACTGCTCTCTGCGATCACCTGTGCACACACTCCTCACTACGGCTCTCTGCAATCACCTGTGCACACACTCCTCACTACGGCTCTCTGCGATCACCTGTGCACACACTCCTCACTACTGCTCTCTGCGATCAACTGTGCACACACTCCTCACTACTGCTCTCTGCGATCACCTGTGCACAGCAGCACAGGAGCTGTTCTCATCCCTAGTTTACTCTAACTTGCTCACTGCTCAGTCGCTCCCCATATCCCACACTCCACACACACACTCCACACACACACACACACACACACACACCGGCCTATATGGCAGCCAGTATTCTACTCCCAGCTTCTGTGACAGCCACCTTCTCAGAACATCTACACGAGTGACGTCATGGAGATGCAATCCGATGCCAGAATTTCCACCTCTGGTTTATTCCCATTCATCTAGCAATCTTCAGTGTCGCCGCACATAACAAGACAGCATTTTTGCTGTGGGTGGGCAGCTCTCTGTGTGCGCAGATACACTACATTTCATGTATCCATTCATCAGCTGGACACTTAGGGTGCTCCCATTTCCTGGCTATTGTACATATTACTGCAGGAACAAAAATGAGGTGTATACTTGACATGCTGGCTGCACATTCAGGGGTGTGAGTCTTTGTTCATATGACAGTTCTATATTTAATTTTTGAGGCATCTCCATGCTGTTCCATAGTTTAAATCACCATCACCTCTTACATAAATTATGTCCCAAATCCTAACAGCCATTCTGCATTTCATCTTTTACCATCCAATCCTCATCAATCGGCTCCCAGTCTATTCTCAATACACCACTATTCTAACCCATCAATAGCTCATACAGCCGGAGAAGCCAGCGAGCAGCACAGCCCAACACAAGATCTTCAGGGCATTCAACTGCTCATAACACAACTGTTCACACAACCACCCACCACCAGCCAGCCAAACCTTCCCCAGCACACTCTGCTCCAGCATGCCCTTCTGCCTTAGAAACAGAGACCCCTTCCTTTTATAAGGAGGGAAAGGGCCTGCTTGCTATTACAAAAGATTGGCGTTTCCTAAATGCACAAATTTTCTCTACAACACAGCCCACTCTTACCATAAGGCAGGTGTCTGTCAGTCACCTATGTATGTGGTGCAGGCAAGTGGATGTTGGTCACCTACGTATGTGGTGTGGGCAGGTGGATGTTGGTCACCTATGTGGAGTAGGCAGGAGGATATTGGTCACCTATGTATGTGGTGTGGGCAGGTGGATGTCGGTGACCTCTGAGGTGTGCACGTCACCTATGTGGTGCAGACAGGTGGATGTCGGTCACCTATGTATGCAGTGTGGGCAGGTGCATATCAGTCACCTATGTGTGTGGTGTGGGCAGGTGGATGTCAGTCACCTATGTGGAGTAGGCAGGTGGATGTTGGTCACCTATGTGGTGATCTTGATAACTGAGGGTCAAAGAAGCAAACACAGTACAGACTCACGCATGGGTTGCTGTCTGTACTTCAAGAACCTTTTCCTTCTACCAGTCTCCAAGAAACTGCAGAGAACCACTCCTAACAGAAACATGGCATAAACTCTGTTACATCTATGACAGTTAACGCTGTCAACTGGACAAGACCTAGAATAACTCACGGAGCATGCCTCTGCTCACATCTGTGAGGGAATCACTGGGTTGGCTTAGACGCTGGGCAGGCCTGTGACTAGGTTACCTGAAATGGAAAGACAGATCCACTGCGGCTGGCATCTGTCCATGGGTTTGGGTTCCCAGACGCGTGAACAGGAGAAAGCAGCCTGAGCACAGCATCCATCCTTCTTTCTGTTTCCTGACTGTGGAGGGCACATGAGCAATTGTTTCAAGCTCTGGCTGCCCTGACTTTCTCACCATGCTACACGGCATACTGAACTGTGAGCCAAATTCAGCCTCCCTTCTTTAAGCTACTATTAACTATCTTGGAATTGGGCTGGAGCTCATCTACGGTACCATCCCCGACACTGTGTCCTCCGTTGTCCTTCCTACAGGAAACAACCCAAGACCCACTGACTGACATCCACTAATCCACGGGTGGCCAGGAAAGGAGAAGCATTAAAGTCAGCTGAGATGGGTGAGACAGCCAAATAAAAGTATTTTCAAACTCACCATCAATATTTACAGCTCAAACCGGGCAACCGGGATCTATCTCACACTCATTTCCCCTTCTGTGAATTTTCCAGAAATGTGAGAGGATGTTCTACGCACGGTGTTCTTTTGAACACCTTCCTGCTCAAGATGGTCTTCTTCTAAGTGACCACAGCAGAATGAGGAAAAGAAAAGGTACAAGCCAAATCTACTAATGCGGCTGCTTGTTCCAGAAGCCACACAAAATGACTGGATCACATGAATGCAGCAGAGCTGTTCTCATATATATATTCTGCCATGATGGGAAAGCAAAATGCCTTGAAAGTCCATCAGTGTTCCTAAGCCAAACACTAATGGTACTTCTTAATTATCAGTAGCAACTGGTGCTAAATTTACCTCTATGCTAGTCAGGAGCACTCACGTGTACCATCACCATAACAACGCAGGAAGGAGATGCAGGCCACAGCCTCCTTCACAGATGATAAAGGGACTGTGATGTGGAGATGCTGATAACCCACAAGCTGAGTCTGCCTTTAAGCCATAACCACCCACTACGCTAAGAAAATGAAAGACATCAAGATAAAACATTACAAACTTACCAGACTTTAGTGTAAACACACAATACCAAGTTAGCAAACCTGTAGCAAGAACCCTCACGAACAGAATTCCACCAAGTTTACCAGCCTTCTGTCTACACACACATCCACCATGACTTGTAAATGCACCACCGTTGTTTTCTGGTCCCTGTGCAACGTCCAAGCCCAAAGAGACCCGGAAGCCAGATCACTCACATAATCACTAGACAGAGTTCACTCCTGTTGCATGAGTTTCAGGGCTAAGGAGGAGGAAGTGAACAAGGCCAGAGATGAACAAAAGGGGAGAGAGCTGGAGAATTGTTGGCTGAGAAAAGACACCAAGTGAACTAGGAATTAACTCAAGCACCAACGGTCAACTACGTGGACATGCGGTGAGCAGGGACATGGGTCATCCATCCTTTTGCAAATATTTGACTGTGGCGGGGGCTGGGTCCACCCCTTCAGCCAATAGCCGCTGAGATACCAGCCCATTGGGGTGTGGTCTCTCTCTTTAAAAAAACAGCGGCTGTCCTCCACTGGCTCTCTGGCTTCCGGCTCCACTTCCGGCTCCTAGACTCCTTTCCTGTTCACGCAGAGAGGCTGTTGTCTGGGACGGTAATCTGTAAGTTTTTCCCCTTTGAATAAATAACCATTCTATTAATCATAATTCCAAACTGGTGTGGGATTGTTTGTGACTTACGCCTTCATTTGCCCTCACTAGTTTAACTCAATCATTCATCTAAAGTTGTTAGCTTTCTGGAGTGAATTTTCTTAAAATGAATGTTGGCTAACTGAGGAAAAGAATGTGCAGCCAACTCACCTGGTTGCAGCATTTCAATTGTGCATTTGCATTTCTGCAGACCCAGCGGCTCTTCAGCTCCCTCCCACAGGAGACTGCCCTAACAGCCAGTAAGTGAAGCAGTTTACTCGGGTAAGTTTTCTTAGGACAGCTGCTTTTTATTTTCTTCATTTTGCCTGGAATTTTCCCTTGGTGACTTAGGATCATTGTGCAATCATGATAAAATATCCTGCCACTTCCCTTGGGCACCTTCGTCACCAAAGACTAACAGTGAAACTGGACACTGTCTTGGGCCAGAGCTCATCATCGGCCCCACCAGCTGAAGCTCTATATGGGAACAGCATAATCCTCAGCCAGTGTCAGGAAAATTCTCCAAAAATCTAAACCTTCCTCTGCTGTTCAAAGGGAAACAAATGATCTGACATGTGACAAATCAAGATCTGTCATGACTTATCACCCCATGCATTCACAGCTTGTTACATTGCTGGATTTGATAACTGACAGCTTGCCTAGATCAACATTTTAATGCCATGCTCTAGAAAATTAAAGTGAATATTCAAATTATGAACATATGGAAGATTTTTAAGAGAAACTTCATAAACAAAATTGACATACAAGTTTAGTTTTAACATAATGACTATTTTAAAAACAGTAACTAAGATGTTTTTAAGCAAAGGAATTACTGTTTTTTGCTCACAATATTGTACGTATACTCAAAATTGAGTGTTCTGCAGGCACATCAAGGAAAAAAAACAAAAAAAAATTAACAACTAACTGGGCATGTTTATTCTCAAGAAAGGGGAGTTATTTACTTGAGAAAACTAATCACACTTCATGCTCTGAAAGCATTACTCTCCTCCATATGCAATAGGATTCATCTCTGTCTTCTATATTACCATAGTACAAAAAGATGCTGATATAAACTCCTAACAAATGAAAAGATCCTGTATATGTTACATGAAAATATTCACTCTAAATACATATAGATAGTCGAACCCTTCCAAAAATTTTATGACCTGCAATCTGTCAATTCGTCAATATGGCATGTTGGCCCTATCTCTTGAATGCCCAAGTCCAAGCAATTGCTTCTCAAATGCTGGCTACACGCACAAGGCGTTGGTTGCTGACAGAAATAAGAAGCACACAAAGAATAAGAAAGACATTTTCTCCATTCCAAATAAATAGTAGATTCTAAGAAACAAAACAAACACAGGAAACAATTAACAAAGCCAGGGTGTGAAACGGAGAAGGAACACCAATGTCTTGGGAGAAACAGCTCAGAGAAAGATGGAAAAGATGGAGGCCAGCACCGCTCAGAAAGCAGCTAGATCCTACAAAGTCTTTACAGAAGCTCACAGGAGCTTAGACCTCATGACTTCTTGTCACTAGGAGGCCTGAGTGCCTGCTCCACCACACTGGGCTCCTGCCTTTCCTGGCTCTCCTGAGAACTCAGACTCCAGAAGCTTCACCTTCATTTACACACCAAACACTGACTCTCACTCCTGCCCCAAATCCCTTCCTTCTGAGAGCCCTGTCAGTGGGATCCTGTAGATTCAGATCAACGGTGGAGCCGCTCTTCTGCCTCCCGGGACGGGGCCCACAGAAGATGTCTATGTCTTTCTTGGCAGAAGAAACCCCGGAGTCTGACTCTGAGTAACGCTGAGAATTAAGAGCTTGGGACTCTTGGCAAAGGTACTGCATGTGTTTCACATCGTAAAATAAGCAGCTGGGAGACCAAGAGCAGAGCACTACAGTTTGGATTAAACGACTTCCAAAGGCCCATATATTGAAACAAGGAGTCCAGGAAGCAAGGCTTGGCAGAAGGTTGTTTCCAGAGTGGCCTAGCAGAGGACTATAGGACTCTAGTCCCCCTCTGTTTTCTTTCCTCTCTGGCCATATGTTGCATGGTTTTACTTCACTACACAGTCTGGAACACTGTGCCGCCTCACCACAGGTCCAAAGCAACCAGAGCAACGGATCATGGGCTGGAACCTTCTAAAACTGAGAGCTTAAATACATTTGTTTTAATTTATTTCTTTCCAGATAGCCATGAATCAGGAGACTTCAGAGGAGCAAAAGACAATGCAAAAACTCATCCAGAAGTATGGGCAGAGCAGCACCCCATCCCGAGAGCCACATCACAGCTGCACAGTAAAGATAAAAGACAAGCTATCACACGGGGCTTCGGAAAGGATCCCCCTCTAATCACACGGCTGCTCTACTCAAGTCCAAGTTCACTATCTGGAGGACCAACAATGGTCCTTCGCAGATTTGGGTGGAACCCAGGAATCTATGGCCACAAAAAGCACCAGGGATCCTAGAATGCATCATCGGACCTATCACAAATGTCTGTGTGGCTTTGACTATTCTTTACTTCCCAAAAAAATTCCTCCAAGCGCTAAGTGACCAACAGGACTCCAGTGACGTCACTCTTGTGACTCTGTACTATCTGCACCACTGCCAAATTTACTGCCCCAATGCAGTCAGCTTACTTAGGGAGCACTGCACCCTCTGCACGGTCTGCACACCCTACACACCGCCATTTCTTCTCTGCTAACCTTTTCAGGGCGCTTGCTCTTTAGCACTCTAGTACTGAGCTGCACCTCCATCACTAAGTGCAAATTCCTTAAGTACAAGTTCGTACTGTTCCCTTGTGTTTCCAATCAAGTTTGAATCCTGTCTCTGCATCTTAGATGATGGTTCTCTGAATGCCAAGCTGGGACACTTGTCCTTTAAATCTTAAAAACCTATTCCTGGGCTGGAGAGATGGCTCAGAGGTTAGGAGAACTGACTGCTGTTCCGGAGGTCCTGAGTTCAATTCCCAGCAACCACAAGATGGCTCACAACCATCTATAGTGAGATCTGGTGCCCAGAACACTATATACATAATAAATAAATTTTTAAAAAAAAAGAAAAATAAATTTTAAAAAAGCCTATTCCTAAATCAATGTTCATTTACCCTTCAGTCTTTTCTAGCCCATCATCATAAGATTCTCTGAATGTGCAAACCTGCCACATTTTTATGTTATCACCCAGAATAATTAACTGCTTACAAATCTTTCTGCTCTGTCTACTATTACTGGGTTAAGGGTTACATGGAATCAACCTTCACTACCTAATCCAAAGGCCTGTGGCAAGGCTCTGTATACCTTGAGACTGCTCAATAAACACGGTTACAATGCACCTGGCTTCTGACTGGCGCTAGAGCTGGCCTGTGATGGGATCTGTTCCTGAGGACACTGCGCTGCTTCTTCAGATCTTTTCTGTTGTTTCTGGGGTTTGGATGGATTGCTTTTTTATTAAGAAAAGTAGTTAAGAAAAAAGATCCCCAAGCAACAGACACTAGCAACACTGCAGGTAACAACTGAACTCTGTTTTTCCAAACAAGCAGTTCTCACTAGAACAATGCTACCCAGACTTTGTTACTGGACATTATAATCATGTGGGGAGCTTAAAACAGCCACTTTCCAGTTCACACCTTTAGCAATTAAGTCGACTTAAGTTCAATGTGGTGACCTGCAGCAGGATTTAGCAACAAATGTTTGATGAAATTCTTCAACTTGGTATACATAAGCCATAAATTTCTCATGATGTTATTGGGTAGATAAAAGAATCTGATTCCCACGCATAGTGTAATTTTATGAGCAAACTGTGGTTTGACTAATTCTGAGATGGTAGCAAACCTGCTAAACTGCCCCGCCCAGCCCAAGATATGCTAGTATATACTTATTTACTTTCAGACACATGAATTTTTTTTTAAATTTAAAATAATGTTACTCAAAAAAAAAAAAAAGGTTACCTCTTCTTGGTGTTCTGAAGACTACAGAAAAATTTTGGCATTTGTCTGATCTTGGTCCAAGCAGGATTTGAATTTTAAAAAAGAAGTTCATGATCTAGAGAGCATAAGGAACCTCAAAGCCACATGTGAAATAGAGCTAGACTGGAAAAGACTAGAAACTGCATGTATGATTCCACTGAGCAAGCATTTAGCATTTCCCTACAGCAACTAGAGTGACAAGAATCAGGTCCGTGGAAACCAAAGACCAAGGTGGGAATGGCAAGGCGAGTGACTGCAAAGGGGCAGGAAGAATCACGGAGGCAATCAGAAGTCTGCGGCCATGGCAAGAGCAGTAACACAACTATGGGCAGGTGGCTTCTGGGGTGCTTTCAAGTGTGTCCCCTATTGGGTACAGCATACCCCAGTGGGTGACTTCTGTCCTAGTCAGGGTGACTATGGCTGTGATGGTGCACCCTAACCCAAGCCAGCTCGGGAGGAAGCTTCAAAATCAGGGTTCACCATCGAAGGAAGTCAGAAAAGGAATTCATTCAGGGAAGGGGCCTGGAGGCAGGAGCTATGCAGAGGCCACGGAGGGTGCTGTTTGCTCAGCCTGCTTTCTTACAGAACCCAGAAGCAGCAGTCCAGGGATGGCACCACCCACCACAGGCTGGGCTCTCCCCCTTCAGGTTTGACTATAGCCCTACCTCATGGAGCACTTTCTTGATTGAGGCTCCCCCCTCAGATGACTTTACTTTGTGTCAAGCTGACATAAAAATATCCAGCACAGTCCCACACCTGGAGGATAGGGTTAGTAAAACCGAACTCAGTGGATTGCTTCAAAGATGTGAGGAGATAAAGCTGGAAGGAGTAGGCATGGTTCTAGGAGAGTTCAGGGCTGTGAGGTGAACATGATCAAAATATATATAAAATTCTCAAAGAATTAATAAAATACAATTTAAGAGATCATTGAATTTTACTATTTTCAAATTTTACTTCAATAAAGATATATGTGTATCTGTATGTGTGCTAAAAATCAACCTGGAGCCTTGTGCATCTCAGCCTTTACCACTGAGCTAATCCCAGTCCCAAAGATCATGGAACAAGATCCCACAAGAGTAAGAAAACCATCTTTAAGGTGCTTGAACCAAAGTGGTAAGAATTAGCTTCCAAAGGTTCATATGAGCTGAAATGAACTGTGTCCCTGTAAAGCTCAAACACCCGGAACCGTGGGATGTAACATTTACAAAAATGAAAGGTCTTGAAGGAGGCGGTGAGGTTATTAAAACTGGGCTTGGGAATGTGCACAGACAGACAGACGTGCACAGACAGACAGACAGACAGACAGACACACACACACACACACACACACACACACACACACACACACTGCTGTGACCATGACTTAAATCCTTATATATAATAATAATTTTTAAAAAAAAAGAGCAAGCCTAAATACACGGACAGCAGGGACATGTATACTCAGAGAAAAGTCATGGTGGGAAGATGCCATCTGCAAGCCAAGGGCACAGGCCTCAGAAAAACCGTCCTGTCTCCCCTGAGCTTGGCCTTCCAGCCTCCAAACTGTGAGGATGCATTCCCACCTCAGTCACCTACCCTGTGGTATTCTGTGTGATGGCGGATCTCACAAGCAAATGTGATTCCATTTTAACTATGGCCTTGCTTTAAACATAAAGAAGAAATATGTGACATCCTCCCATATTTGCACAGGAGGAAAATGAAGGGACTCACACTGTCATAACAAAGGAATAACTGACCCTGCTATTGAAAAAGACTGTTTATGCTATAACGTGTAAGCATGCACCGAGTGCTGCAGTGGTCTGCGGTGTTACGCACCTCCAGACCTATGGACTGTTTATGCTGTGGTGTGTAAGCATGCACCGAGTGCTGCGGTGGTCTGCGGTGTTACATACCTCCAGACCTCCAGACTGTTTATGCTGTAGCGTGTAAGCATGCACCGAGTGCTGCGGTGGTCTGCGGTGTTACACACCCACAGCTTCCAGGACTAAAGCTATGGTGAGTATGACTGTTACCTCGTGTCTCAACAGCACTGATGCACTTTCTGAGAATTGTGAATCCCATCGTATCCAGCTGTGCACCTAAAAGGAACAGGCATAAAATGTTACAGGACAAGTATTACTGTTTCTTTCCCTTAAAAAATAAAGAAAACAAATTTAAGGTAATGGAACTTTTGCTTCATTGTTTGAAAACTGCTGCATTTCCCATGAAAATGGCATAACTGGAAAACGTATTTGTTTGTAGGTGAGCCTCCATGCTGAAAATCAAGATGTCTAATTCTTATAATTCAACTTGTAATATAAAATATTTTAGGTTAATAAATACAGAATATTTTAAACAGTAAAAAAAAATAATACCAATTTCTAAGGGAAGCTACAGAGAAATAATCTCCATATTTTGCCAAAAGTCCCAGGAGTAGCTCAGTTACAGAAAACTCGAAATATGAATGAAGGCTTTTCAATGTGATCTGAGCTTTTGACTAACAAGGAAAAGTTTCTGTTAAATGCTTCCTGGGCAGTAAGTGTTCTTGATAATTTTCACTGCACATCAAGCTTTTTAATGATTTTATTATTTTCATAATTTGAATTTAATAGATGATTCATGTGATTCAACAGGTCACTTTGAAAATGCAATTTTATACTTTTTCTAATATAAGTGTTTGCTTATGACCAAGCTGGCACATATTTGTAGATTTTGCTTTTGTTTCAAAACTTTAATGAAAAATAGCAGCACTCCAGCCTCTGCGGCCAGGCCTAAGGGACCACAGCACTAACACAGCTTCCTGGGGATTTATAATCTGTAACATTAGGCTTAAATAAATTTCTTGTTACTTTGTCTTTTGTTTTTCAAGACAGAGTTTCTCTGTAGCCCTGGTTGTTCTGGAACTCTCTCTGGAGACCAGGTTGTCTCAAACTCAGAGAGCCACCTGCCTCTGCTGGAATATAAGGTGTGAGGCACCACTGCCCAGCTTTCAAATGAATTTTAATGGTTAAAATGGAACAGTTGTGTCAAGAATCCACTACTGATAACACTTTACAAAACACAAGTAATCTCTTCCGGCTTTGCAAACCATTCCCAGGAGGTTTATTTACAGTTCTTTAGGTTGAACAAGAAAGGACAGAGACAAAGGGGAAAGGCCAGAAGAAGGGGCACAGCGAAGAAGGGCTGGAGGACATCAGTACAGGAGAGAGGAAGAACACGCTCCCCTGCAGGGGCACCTGTCAACATCCGGTACCAGGCTATAGATCTTCGAATCGAGAATTAGCAGAAGTGATCACAACTGTTTCTATTACACAGTCTATGGCTTTGTTAAGTGCAGCCTTAATTTCACCAAATCTACCAAAAGTGAGTACAAAGCGAGTGTGCCAAACTGTGCCATTCTTGTTTCCTATCAGTACTCCCTGAGTACAGAGGTGGGGAACTTTGTTTTCCATGGTGTGGATCCTTGCCATGCACTATGTGAACAGCTCAGCGCATCCTTGCCATGGCTATTTTCCAAAGTGTATGCCTTATATAGCATACACTCAGAGGCTGCAAGACTAGAAACTGTCAAGGGCTGACAGAAATACTTGGGTTGTCAAAAATTAAACCAAAGCAAGAAAATTAAAGCCATGGGTTTATGAGAGAAGAATTTTCAGCCCTGACTGCCTGCCAGAATCACCATCCTGCACAGAACCACAGAACCACAGGATCCACAGAACCACAGGCTGCACAGAACCACAGGCTGCACAGAATCACAGGATGCACAGAACCACAGGCTGCACAGAATCACAGGATGCACAGAACCACAGGCTCCACAGAACCACAGGCTGCACAGAATCACAGGATGCACAGAACCACAGGCTGCACAGAACTACGGGCTCCACAGAACCACAGGCTCCACAGAACCACGGGCTGCACAGAACCACTGTTCTGTATAATAAGTGCTCACACAAATAAATCTGCCCAGTAAGTAGGGGTTCACCATCCAGCTGGGGCCACTCTTTATGTATTGCTCACTGTGGCCAAGGATTACTGTTTCAAATATCTGAAGTAATTCTTCTTACATTCACCTTAACAATTTTCTCCTTTTCTCTTGCTCACTGAACATGGCTGCCGTGCGCTACAGCATTAGGACCTTTGCAGCCCCCAGCGCCTCTCAACCAAACATCACCGTGTTCCAGGACGCCATTATTTCTATCTAGAGTGACAAGCAGCAGGATGAGGAGGCCTGGAAGCAGAGGGCCAAGGAGCAGCCTCTTCCACAGGCTCCTGAAGCTTCCACCAGAAGCTTTCTCAGTGCCATTCACGACTGTAGACCTAAACTACAAGAAGACCAGAGGTGAGCTCACAGTAAAGCTCAGGTGGACAATGAGGGCTGCCCGTGAGCTTTAAAAAGATGCAGACTGAGCCCCAGCAACAGCTTGGGGTTGGTGACTATCAGGATGAATGAACACTTACCTCCTTCTGGTCTTGGAATGATGGCTTTATTACAAGTATGGATGAGCTAGTAAAAGAAAGAAAGAGAGAACACTTTCAGCAAATCAAGTCAAGGAAGAATATGCAAATTTTCAATTTATGAACTTAGTATTAGATAATAGAGCACACAAAACACACACTTAGTCTCCACGCCTGCCTTACAGGACAGAGTTCCCTTAGTCTCCACGCCCGCCTTACAGGACAGAGTTCCCTTAGTCTCCATGCCTGCCTTACAGGACAGAGTTCCCACACACCTGGAATCTCCTGACAGGAGCCCTTTGGGACAGCTCTAAATTTATGCTAAATAAGCAGCTGGGAAACGAGACCTATGTAGCATAAGGATGCAACTAGAAAGTCCATGTGAGAAAAACTTCACATTGGGCCTCATCCCAACTCTGTAAGAGCACAAGCTTTGATGCCCCACCCCGCTGTGAATATATCCCATACTGGGGTGGTGGCCCTCCTGCAGGGGCATGGCATTCTTCATCACCCACCCTCAGTGCACACCCAGCCCTATGCACAGCTTCAGCATGCCCACTCTGGGGTTGTATTCACTAATTACCACACCCAAGGAAGAGGGTTGTGGGAATCCCCAATTTATACCATACTGTGCTGGAAAGACCAGGACTTGTCACTGGAGAACTGAAACAGAGGTGACCTAGATACAAATGCCCAACTTGTAAGATCTGTCACCAACACTCCAGACAGCAGTGCCAGAGCTGAAGTAAGTTAGGACATCCAGCTCAAGTCAGAACTGGTCAGTGTGGGGAAGCCCTCTGTGGAGTCTGCACGAGACTGCAGGGGCGCTGTGCTGTCTGTGGCTAATGACGTGCTATGTGCACACGTATGCAGCGCATGCAGGACTTTTCTTGGTTTGCTTCTCTCTAAAGAAGCATGCCAGACTGGCAAAAAAGATTACAGAGTCTGCAGTCCTTAAGAAACTTGTTACAAGTCTGTGTAAGCGGGAAACTCTCCACCTTACAGACACGCTGACCACTGATGTACTCCACCCAATGACGTCTAACTCACTGTTTCCTGACTGCTCTTGAATTTCACAAAGGTAAGAGACAATCCATGCCCATAGTTTAAGCAAATAAATCTGTGCTAGCGTGGCGGTCACCTGGCTTCTGAGTCCTAGCACTAGCTACCTGCAAGGCATACAACGTCTGTAAATACATACTACACGTTACAGTCCCCATACCATGTACCACTGAACAGGCTTCCCACAGTCTCGCTGTGCTCTGTTAGGGGAAGACAACCTGATCATGGGCTCCCGACTAAACCAAACTGGAAGCCCATTTTTCTCAAAGACTCAACCAGGGATATTTGTGCTATGGAAGCTCACTGTCTAAAGTACTTCTGGGAAGATCATCACGGCTAACGAAGTGTCTTTACCACAAAGGATAAAGGAACAGATAACTACATCCCAATACTACCCAAACTCTTTTAATTTTGGAGAGAGTATCTTCCTCTGTAGCCCCAGCTGTCCCAGAACTCTTTATGTACGTCAGGCTGGCCTGTAACTCAGAGATCTGTCTGTCTCTGTCTCCCAGTACTTGGGATTAAAGGGATGTACCACCATGCCTGGCTTCAAAACTCTTTTTTAAAAAAAAATATTAATTACATATCTCTATGTAGGTATGTGTGTGTGAGTCTTGGTATGTGTGGAAGCCAGATGCATTTGACCCTCTGCAGCTGGAGTTGCAGCTCAGCATGAGTGCTGGGACCGCTGCTGGTCCTCTGCTGCAGAGCAGTGAGCTCCCAACCACTGAAGCACCTCCCTGGGCCTCCATCAAAACTCCAGCTAAAACTCTAAGAACTAATCAAACATGAACAGAACGAGAGGCGTGGACAGTCCACCAAAAGAACACTTGACCAGCACGGTGAGACCCTGAATTCCAGACTTAGTACAGAAATAAAAAAGTCGGAAACAAAAAGACGGAGTCTGATTCGGGCTCAGATACGGTGACTCCAGGTAATTCTGACGGGGTGATACAGTGTCTTTAGAACACAGCAGCTAGGCTGTCATTCCCAGACACGCTACCAAGCGGCCTCTCATTCCCTGTACTTCCGACAGCGTCTGCAGCTGGGTTCACAACTTGCCTAAGCAGCACCGCCTTAGCCCCTAAGGAGGCTCTGTTCTGAAGCCTCTTCCTTACTGAAACCCTCTACCCTGAATCTTCAAGATTGTCTGGTGCTTCCTGCTTACTCTGAATCCTAACACTTTACATGGTAGGCCGAATATCAATCTGTGATTTTTTTTCCTAAGGTTGTCTCCACTAAACCCCCAACTCAGTACATGACCTGCCGATTCTGAGCTCCAAATGCCAGCAGTACACAGAAAATCAGGCAGTGCTGGAACCAAGTGCCAATGGAGGTTAGGTTCCTTGGGACCTATGTCGCAACCTTTAGTCTATTCCTTGAAACCATAGCCATGCAGAGGCCCAGTCTCTAAGGTTACTCGATGCTACAAAGCAAAACCATTATATTAAGTATCAGGCCCATGTGGGGAGTGGTCGCTAACGCTGCCATGTACTTACTATCCCGTCTAAAATATACGGCAAGCATTTAATGGACTTGCCACACACACCCCACAAAAAACAAACCTGGTAAAATAGAAATTGAAAGTTTTGCTGACTTCAAAGCAAAGTAAATCAGAACAGTAAAGTTAAGGAAGACCAGAACTGAATTCGAACAATGTCCCAGCCATGGGTGTTCTGCAGCTGCCCCAAGATAATCTCCTAGAGAGTTACATGGTTCCCAGAGGAGTTTAAACACCAGCTCCAGCAGAGAACTGTTCTCAAATGCTATAACACAAAAATAACTTAGAAACGAGCCAAGTCGGCTGTCCAGGGTTTGAAATAAAGCCCCGACATTCTTACAGCTTCTTTTCCTCCCAGAGCTTCCAGCCACTGTTTCCTCTCTTCCTCTGAAAACGCCTGCATGGTCACGGGGACGCCAGGCCTGGAAGACAACAAGAAAACATCAGGTCACCGGCGTCAGCACAAAACCCCTTCCTCTGTTTCCAGATACTTGACACAGGGTTTAAATGTTTTCATTAATTTCAACTACAATAAAAAAATTAATGTAAAATCTGCTATCTAGACAATTTTTACACATGAATACATTATTGTACAACCACTCCAGAATACAGGGGTGGGGTGTCTTTCTATGTAGTTCAAACCGGTCTTGAATTCAATATATTGCTATCCCTGCCCCCTGAGTGCTGGGAGTACAAGTATATGCGACCCTGCTGGGCCAGGCAGTCTCTGTATGCCACCACTTATTTCCTACCCACTGCTCCTCATCCCGGGGCAACTCTGCTGCATACATACACATCTATCTCTATACATGTGGTTAATCTGAGAGCTACAGGAAAGGAAATCACATCCTATTTATAGTTTCTGTCCAGTTTTTTGTCACTTATGAAAGGGTCACTCAAGTCAGAATGTAAGTCAAATCTCCTTCCTTTTTAAGGTTCATACTTCATTATACATACTGCATATGATGTTTCCAACCCTAATTTCTATCAAGGATATATAAAGTAATACATAATCATAATACACCTAGGATAATGTTCAGAGTCAATAGCACTACGAACATCAACTAGAGGTGAGAACAAAAGAATGCTTGCCCATCATTAACAATGATGGAAATTGGTGCAACAACCTAAGCCAGCTCAGTGGCTTCCTACAGACATGAATCTCTCTTGCCATTAGGACCCACCCAGACAATTCTTAGTACATCTTTGTCCTTGAGGATTATAAGGAATTCCTGCATTATGTGCAATAGTCCACTGGGAACAAAATTTCTGAAATGTTTTACTAATATATCCAGATCCATTATAATCCCCAAGGACAAGGAATTGTGAAGCGTGCCCATGGCTCTCTGAAAACACAACTTTAAAAGATAAAAAGGGGGAGCTATACCCTCAGTCTCCACATAATACCTTAAATTATGCCCTTTTAATTCTTAATTTCTCAAATGTGGATGTCCGTGAACAATGTGCCACTGACAGATTTTGGCATGGTGGCACCAGAGCGACCTTCACTGAAGCAGAAGGGAAAAACCCTTGTACTGGGTCATGGAAAGGATCCAATCACGTTTTAATATAGGGTCAAAGGCATGTTTGTGTTTTTCACAGGAGAGGAATGAAGCTCAGTTGTTCCCTGAACGTTTGGTCTGGTGTGTGGAACCAAGGAGTACCTGTCCTGCTGACATCCTGGATGCTGAGGCTCCCTTCCCAGGAGAACTGCAGTGAGCCTGTGAGCCTGTGACCCTGTGACCCTGACCTCTGCTGCAGTCTAGAGGGGAAGGAGACCACGGTGATGGGAGACTGTGAGCCTGTGATCCTGACCCTGTGCTGCAGTCTAGAGGGGAAGGAGATCACGGTGATGGTTGATGATTTCTCCCTTCCTGAAAGACCTACTGCACCTGAGTCCTATCTACTCTGGAACAGGCCCAAGGATGCTGACTGAATATCTGGCCATGTAGCTACAAAATATCGTGGGACACAGAAATTAACTTTGCCAGGATGGTGTTCAGTCTGCTGTTAAAACAGAGGACCTGAGAATCGGGAACTCAAATTTCCCCTCTGGGGGAAAGAGACTTGTTAAAGCAACAGAACAGTATCATGGAGGCCATGAATGACTGAAACCCCTCTTCGGAATAGGAAGAGAAGTGGCGTAAAAGTTTTTTCACTACTCAAGGACTGGAGCAGCTCAAACATCATCTTTGGAAGTTGGTAGCAGCAATGCAATTAGACAACAGGAGACGAGAAAGACTCATAGCTCACATTATCATCACAGAGACTTTTCTTGTTTTTTGATTAGAACAAAGTTATGAGAATTGTGTTTCGACAAATTGTGTGTTTATTGTTAATTTTCATACTAGAGTCAATGGTATTAGCCTGTTACTGTGGTAACTGCTTTAGTTACTAGGAAGATATTACTAGTTAGAAAAAAGTTAGAGTTTATCTGAGAAAAATTTGACATGATGCCAGTGAGTTCTTAGTTTAATATGTTTAATATAAGACAAATTAGACAGATTATGATGCAGCTAAAAGCTGTTAGAGACATCCTAGACCAGTTTAAACAGGCCATCCCATCCTGGTCATCCTTGCTCCTTTGCTAGGAGACACTGACAGAAGGAGCATGCCTATCACAAAGCACTGTCTGCTTGCCTGATTATCTAGGTATTTGTGAGCTCTCTCAATGGAAAGTTGGCTCAGAGGTGCAGGCACCTCGGTATGCATTCTCCCTTAACCCTTTGTAACCAAAGACTGGTAGTCAATGACAGAAAAAATCTTCTTCCCTCCGGGCAACCTAAGATAGGACATGCATGAAAGAACATAAGTACCAGCAACGGGTAAGTCTGGAAGATGGAAGAAGACAAACTAAGACAGGAACAGTCATCTGTCCTGCGGCAGAAGTGCAGGTTTTGATAAATAAATTTTAAAAGGGGAAATACATTGGAGTCCACAGATGTGGACTCGTTCCGCCTTGACCAAAGGTCAGAGCATTCATTTTCTCTAGTAAGACTAGCTAGCGAGCCTAAACCATTAAAGTGTCTCCATTCCCTCCTACCCTGCAATTTGCTAAAAGTCCAGGGCTTTCATCACTTTATTGTTTTACTCTTGCCCTGTTGTTTCTCCCTCAGAATCAGCTAACAGTTGCCCATGACCCTGGGTAAGAGGATGCTAACAGTTACCACTCTACTGGACATATAACACGAGCATTCTCACTACTGCCCAAGCCAACTGCACGAACTTCTAGAAGTTACATGCTCAAACACTCTCGATCTCAAGAACACAGCTGCACCACACGCAGACTCAAGCCGCTGGCGAGCAAGCCTTCCCTGCCACCTAATGCTTCAGAGTCTCAGGAGGACACCACACTGATCACACAAAGCACCAAATCCAAAGCAACACAAGAAGCTCTGGAAACAGAAGCTGGATGTGTGGGTGTGACGTGCCAGGGAATCGTCAGAGGATGTGAGGGGGTGGGGATGGCCCAGCACAACACAGCACATGGCAAGCATGCAGACACAGAGTCAACATGCTGCTGCAGGGTGGTAGGGTAAGCGCCCTTCCAGAAGAAAGTTACATCTCCTGACAGACCGCGGCTTTACTGAACCAAACAACTATATTAAAGTCTATTTCTACAACCAAAAATGAGTGGCCCCACCATTTCATAGCCCTTGGTATCTGAAATGTGGCTGGCACGAGGAAGATTCTGTTTAGAGTCATTGTAAAGCCTTTACGGCAATGGGCACTTTTTTACTGGCAGCTGTGTTCCTTGTTTGTTTGTGCTTTGAAGCTTTTCTGTGACATAATTCGCACCGTAAACCTGATTCGCTATAAGCGAATGTCTTCAGACTTGTGTAAACATCACCAAAGTCAATGTTAAGACATGCTGATCATGCATGAGGTGAAGGTCTGCCTCCAGCAGCCATCACTCCCATGTCTGTGCAACCCCTGGACCTACGCAGCTTCTCCTCTGCTCCTTAGCCAAACAGACTAACATGCTCCAAACATGTGTCCACATGGAATTATATATGTTATTTTATGGCTGGCTTCTTTTACTCAAACACTTTCAAGGTGTGTTCTAAACATTCCAGCATGTACTCAATGTATATTTACTTTTAATCAGACACCACTGTTCATTTTAAGAATGCACCATGCTTATATAAACGTTCAAGCAATTCCTACTTTGGTGATCCTATTAATAATGCTTCCATGAATAATCATTCAAATGATTTGTGTGGACATATGTTTTACTATATTCAGATATAAGTACATATACCTGTAACTACACATATACAAATACAAATAGTAACTACACATATACAAATACAAATGTAAAACTTCTGAATCAGATGAAAACCTTTGGAGGAGCTGCCCAGCTGTTTCCCAAAGCTCCAATTCCCATCTTGGAGTTTGAGGCTCCCATTGCCCATACCCTTGACAGCACCTGCTACGTTAATACAGCTGTCGCAGTGGGGATCAAGTACTACCTCACTGTAGTTTTGACTTGCATTTCCCTAGTAACTAATCATGGTTTTTGTGCTTATATGCACATGGCACATGTGTATTTTCCTCGAAAACATCTTTTACCCACTTTGAAATATTATGTTGTTAATTACTGAGTTCTAAGAATTCTATTTTCTACTTCTTTGGTATTTTTAATGGTCTTTTAGCACATGCTCTTAAATGTTTCCTCTATCAAAGAAAATATTCAAAGCTGCCTTTTTGTGAATTGAGGGAGAAAAAAAGACATGTCTATCTGCCTAGAGAAAGGACACAGTAGGCGTGGCCTGTTGATCTCTGCCCAGCTCCCTACTGCTCACTGCCCCCTCAGTTCTCAGTAGCAAAGCATCTGAGCGTCAATACATGATTCAACCTCAAGATGCATATGCGCCCTACAAGCCTAGCTGTGACTGTCTGAACGCTGATGGGTCAGTGTGAGAAACCTCTGGCAATGTTTGTAACTGTCAGGAAAATGGGAGGAGGTACCGTGAGCCTGAGCTACCTGAGAAACTGAGACAGGTCCAGAGAAGCAGAACCTAACACGAAATGTTAGCATCAGCTCTGACCTGGCTGCCCGTGGCTCCCACAACAAGAAAAAGACAAACTAACACTATTTAGAGTCATGCCGATGCTTCCCAAATTTAACAAATCTAACCAACCCTGGCCTGAACTAAATACCAAAATTACAGGGAAGCCCTTGACTCCTACGCAAGAAGAGCAAATGTCTGCCCAGGTGCCTAAATTTCACAAACAATGACACTTCTTTTAACATTCAAAATACAAAACAGCAAAACAGATACTTGGAAAGAAGGCAAGATTTAGATTAAAGACAAGCAATCAGCTATGAAGCTGCTATTCAAAAGATCCCAAGAGGAGCTATGCAGAAACCTAGTCACTATGCCCACTCACTCTGAAACGGGCTACATTTACTTTCCTT